TGTCCCCAACCCTGTCCCCATGTCCCCAGCCCTGTCCCCAACCCTGTCCCCATGTCCCCAGCCCTGTCCCCAACCCTGTCCCCATGTCCCCAGCCCTGTCCCCAACCCTGTCCCCGTGTCCCCAGTGCTGGGTCTCCCCTCGCGGGTCGAGGAGCTGTGTCCCGACCTGCCGGACCTGGAGCGCCTCATGGGTGACATCGGCGGCCTGGCGGACTCGGGGGCGCGCTACACGGAGATGCCGCACGTCATCGAGGTGACGCTGCCCATGCTGTGCCACTACCTGCCCCGCTGGTGGGAGCGCGGCCCCGACGCCGCCCCCCAGGGCCCCTGGGCCACCGACGTCACCGGCCAGCACCTCAACGCCCTGCTGGGCCACATCCTGCGCATCGTGGTCAACAACCTGGGCATCGACGAGGCCTCCTGGATGAAGAGGCTGGCAGGTGAGCGTGGTGGCCACGGGCGGGTCCTGCAGGTCATTCTGGTGGCCCTAGGCGGGTCCTGCAGGTCATTCTGGTGGCCCTGGGTGGGTTTGGGTGGTCCCAGGATGGTGCTGGTGGCCCTGGGTGTGTCCTGCACGTCATTCTGGTGGCCACGGGTGGATCCTGCAGGTCATTCCGGTGGCCCTGGCTGGGTTTGGGTGGTCCCAGGATGGTGCTGGTGGCCCTGGGTGTGTCCTGCAGGTCATTCTGGTGGCCCTAGGCGGGTCCTGCAGGTCATTCTGGTGGCCCTGGGTGGGTTTCAGTGGTCCCAGGATGGTGCTGGTGGCCCTGGGTGGGTCCTGCAGGTCATTCTGGTGGCCCTGCGTGGGTTTCAGTGGTCCCAGGATGGTGCTGGTGGCCCTGGGTGTGTCCTGCACGTCATTCTGGTGGCCACGGGTGGATCCTGCAGGTCATTCCGGTGGCCCTGGCTGGGTTTGGGTGGTCCCAGGATGGTGCTGGTGGCCCTGGGTGTGTCCTGCAGGTCATTCTGGTGGTCCTAGGCGGGTCCTGCAGGTCATTCTGGTGGCCCTGCGTGGGTTTCAGTGGTCCCAGGATGGTGCTGGTGGCCCGGGGTGTGTCCTGCAGGTCATTCTGGTGGTCTCAGGGCTGTTTTGGTGGCCTCAGGGCTCACGGTGACCACGTTTCCCCAGTGTTCACCCAGCCCATCGTGAGAAAGGCACGGCCGGAGCTGCCCCAGGGGTGTTTAGGTGGTCCCAGGGTGGTCCCAGAGTGGTCCCAGGGGTGTTTAGGTGGCCCCAGGGTGGTCCCAGGGTGGTCCCGGGGCTGTTTTGGTGGCCCCAGGGCTCACGGTGGCCACGTTTCCCCAGTGTTTGCCCAGCCCATCGTGAGCAAGGCGCGGCCGGAGCTGCCCCAGGGGGGTCCCAGGGGAGTCCCAGGGCTGTTTTGGTGGCCCCAGGGTGGTCCCAGGGTGGTCCCGGGGCTGTTTTGGTGGCCCCAGGGCTCACGGTGACCACGTTTCCCCAGTGTTCACCCAGCCCATCGTGAGAAAGGCACGGCCGGAGCTGCCCCAGGGGTGTTTAGGTGGTCCCAGGGTGGTCCCAGAGTGGTCCCAGGGGTGTTTAGGTGGCCCCAGGGTGGTCCCAGGGTGGTCCCAGGGTGGTCCCA